CCACGCCGCGCCACGCCGGGCCGGCGATCTGCAAGAAAATACGCGATTGATTCGAGTCCGAGGTCAAAGGCGTCATCACGGAGCCGAGCAGCGGCGGCCGGGCGGTGCGAGGAGAGCAGCGCACCAGCGCCGCGCGGCGAGCGTCTCGAATAGCAATCATGTGAAAATCCGAACCTGAACCTGAATCCTGTACGCCACTCAGAAACGGATTTATATGGAGTCGGTTTGGGGCCGGGTGGGTGAATAATTAATGCGAGGCGTACACGGCTACACAGACACCCGGCCGAGAAAACCTAGGCCGACGCGGAGAGATAACTTTGCACGGGGGAAAACATGAATCGAATTACGGCAGACATTGAAAAATAGTCATGGCAACTGGAATGGCTTTTTGGTGTTCTCTTTAGAAAGCCAAATATTAGCAGCGTTCTTTCCCTGACGGACAAATCTTGTCCTCTTTTGCATGCCAACAGTTCACCTTAAAAGAGGCCAAAAATGTTCAATTTCCAAGGGAAGGTGTCAAAAACTTTGCTTCGAAATAAAGGCCTAGTGTAGACCAAAGTTTACAGTGAACGCCAACATTGAGGAGGGTTCTGCAGCGGCAGGCGCTAATTAGCGAATTTAATTTCGTTTTATCGGCTCATTGAGTCCACTTTGATTCCGGCGCAGCGGCTGCGGCTGGGCGATCGCCCGCCGCGTAGTCAGGGATAACAAACTCACCCGCCCCCCGCTCAAATGGAGTCGCATGCATTTTAATGAGTACTTACCGCGGCGCGGGCTCGTGGCCGCAGCCTCGGACCCGTGGCCCGGCGCGCAGTCGCACGAAAGAGGAAAGGGTGGGGAATTATGAGGACTCACCTGGGGACACACAAAAAGAAGGGTTGATAAAAACATTATTATTATTTCATGAGGGCAGCGGGACAAGCACTCGCGAAAAGTGACCCCGCGGCAAACATGGGTGGGCTTAGGCTTGGACGGACAGAACTATAGTTCCGACTGTGAGAAGTATCATGTATAGTTTTGTTGTAGCATCGGCCCGACATTTTTTTTATCATATTTTGATTATTTTTCACAACAGATACACTTCTAAAATAAAGTTATATTTTTTCTCGTATCTCACAGAGCCAAATTTACGATAACTGTTTTAGCAGAGTTGAATTACGGCGTGCTGCTCTGACGTGCAGGTGTTGGCGTAGGATCGGCAGCATCCCAGCGCGAGGAAGGCAGCGGCGGCACCGATCCGCTCGAAAAACGTGATTTAATGGACGAGTGCAAGACGGGCGCTGCCCGCCCCGCTACATTCTGGTTTGTTCTCCCTTCCTGGATCGATTCGGATTTATTACTGTGTGGCCCTCATCAGATTGACTCAACTGGAGCGGCAGCGTTGCACGCCCCGTCCTTCGGAGGGAGGATAGAATGGAACACAGTCAGAGAGAGGGGATGTTGTGGAGGGGGTGGCAAAGAGACGTCTCAAAGGGAGGGGGGGCAGGATGGGACGTAGTTCTCCGTTAGGGCGTCGGAACAGAACGGGCAACCAATATGTTCGTTTAAATTCCTGAAACGAGGTCGCGTGCGTTGTCGTTAGGCTTGGGGGAGCCAAGTGAAGTGCGTTAAGACATAAGTAGTAGCAAAAAGAACAAAACTAACATGAATGGGATTTTGAGAGCGCGCCCTGGAGTTAGGCAACCCATTGCAGTGTAGAGAAGCCAACGGAGAAGGGGAAAGGAGGGGAAGGCTAATTCCCCGTTACCCCCAGGTAATGCTTGAGGAGTAAATATGTTATAAATAATGATTAAAGTCTATGGTAATACAAGTACAATAATATTATTATCAGATCATTCTTTAAAAATAATATGAATTACGGCAGAATAGCATTGGAAGCGATTAATGATAATTCAGACTTTGTAATGGCAATTTTGATTTCTATAAATAAAAAATATCTTGTTCATTTCTCCGAATGATACCGATCATAAAAAACAAAAAAACAAATAGAGCACAGCAGAGGGTCCGTACCGAGTGAGCGTACCACGCTCCACGGTGCGGGGCTCGGCAGTCAGCAGAAAGCGCACCTCTTGCGGCTGAAGTATGAGGACCAGCGCTTAATTGCCACAATTCTAATTTTGACAACTTTATACACTGTTCCGTTTATCGCAGAGGATTAAAATAGTGAACTGGTCTCAAATGTGTTTTATCTGATAAAATGTAATAGATGGACATCCGTTTCTCAGGAAAACTGGAATGCAGACACAGATGGACGGACACACTGGTAAAACAAATGTTAAATTTTGCACGTCAATTGACGCTTAAGTTTAAGTGTGCATTTTCTCGACACTTTGTGGTGTCTAACTATGTTATACGTCAATTGGTGTTTAAATTTTCGACACTTCCGACACGTATATCAGCTGCACACCGTATGGTTCCCTATTGACAGCATAGAACTGTGTATGTCCAAGTGTGCAGAATTTAAACGTTTACAAAACGTCGAAAATTTGCACACCACGCAAGTGTGCAACTTGAGTTAAACACCATGTAACGTGCAAAATTACAACCTGCACACGTTTGGTGCGCAAATATTGTACACTTGTTTTACCAGTGCAGGCTCATGACAAAGTAACCCTCCCCCCCTTTTTTTCAACGACTAAGTCTACGCTTGCTCAGCTGATGAAAGCAGGTAAGGAAGGCTAGAGCGGCCAAAGAAGCTACAGAGAACGCCCGTGAAAATGACGGAGCGTCCTGGCGGACACAGTGTAGCGGCATCCTACTCTTTCGCCGCAAATCCGATCAGTGGGCTGCTCCGTCAATACGCGTCCGCTCTGAAAGGTCCGCTCTCAGTCTGCTCTTCCAGCCGCCTTCTCTCCCCATGCCATTCCTTTGCTTTTTCTAACTTTTTCGGAGCAGGAAACCCTCTTCTCCTTGTTCATGCTCGCCTGTACGCCCAGCAAGACACCGACGAGGTGAAAAGGAGACCGGGCGCGCCGCTGCGAAATAATTAACAAGCGTCTGACCAAGCGCGCAGCGACGCACACTACTTCACCTTGCCCTTCTGATTTGTATCTTTCTTTTCGCCAGCTCTTTTCCTTGCTCTGCCTTCAATGATTGTCTCCCCGTCGCGACGCCCTCACTTTCACCCCCCAAGCAGGGCTCGCACCGGAAATGAGTGCGATCGGAGGGACAGAGGGGAGGGGAGGTCCCATCGCAATATTTGGCCATGACGCGCCGCTTTGCACGCGGCGGCTGCGAAGAGCAGCGGGAGGGAAAAAAAGAAGGGCCTGGTTAGCGTGTCGTCACGGCCTTCTTTGTCGATCGCATCGCAATACACTACTCGCTGCCATTTCATTACTTTGTCAAGCCCACAGCGACCAGCAAACAACGACTCGCGCTGTGTCTTATTTACATTGCTCATTTCGTTATTACTGCAAAGAACTTTAGATTCACCAAACATTGCAAAGATACTAAGCAGTGAAAGGGCGATACTCAGTTGGATAGCATGTCTTCCAATATACATCTGCTTTCACAGTTCCCAAAACCCGTCACGAAAAGAGGAAGAGCGGTGGCGCGGTCTGCGGCAAAATTGTGGCAAGAGTAATGAATAACTCACTGAGTCAAGTTCAAAGAAGGAGATGCCGGTCCATTTGACCAGCGACACGAAAAGCAGAAACACTTCCGCCGCGCGATTATTAAGGGCGCCCCGTATAATTGCGCGCGGGGCTTAAATGGAGAAGCCCTTAATGCCGCCTGGGCTGTCCCC